CCTTGAAAATCTTTGATGTATACAGTTGGGTAATGTACTCAACAACAGCAGTTCCAGAAGCTGGCCACTGACAGAAAATATGATCAAGGGGTTGAAGAAACAGCTCAGCCGTTATGAACACTAGCTTCTCCTCCAGAGGATCCAGCTTAGATTACCAATACAAATATGGCACCTCATAACCTTCTGTGACTCCTGTTCCAGGGGAATCTAATGTCCTTCTCTGGCATCTACAGGTGTTGCGTGCACATGGTGTATAGACATACATGTAGGTAAAACACACATTTACATAAAATAAGAATAAAGAAAAAATATTTTTTGTTTACTTTCTTGCCATTAAGTATCTACACTAAACTGTTGACTGAAGCCCCAGTGACCACTGGGTAGCATTTTTTTCATGTATTTCTCTGAATATCTTAGGTTCCCAGTAAGACAAGTACTCAGTATACACATGGCACATTGGTAGGCATATGATATATTGCTGTTCAACGATATGAAATATATTCATTGAAGATCTCAGAGTAGGTAAGGGAGGGAACTTAGATTCAACTCAGGAATGCTAGCTGCATGCAGTTGTGAAAAAAAAAAAAAAAACCTGCTTCTTCTCAGAAAATCAACAAAAAACCTGAACAGGCAACTGACCAATGAAAGTATATGGACAGCAAATAAGTGTATGAAAAAGCCATCAGTGAGTCAAAACTCAAAATAATAAAAATAATAATAACTTACCTATTAGAGTGCTAAGAACTAAATGCTGAAAACATCACGTGATGACGAGGGTGTAGAGACTGAGAGCACTCATTCATGACTGATGGAGATGAACAATGTCAGAGCCACTTTGGAAGACAGGTTGGCATTTTGGTAAAGACATTATATATAATTTGAATATGCTTTTGATATTTACCAAAATAAATTGAAAACAGCCTACACTAAATTCTTCACATGAATATTTAGCAACCTTCTTCACAGACATTCAAAATTAGAAGTCATTAAGATGTTCTTTATTAGGTAGAAGAACATGCTGTGCACATTCATATAAAGGAATATTAATGGTTGATAAAGAAATAAACAATCACAAAGATGCTGGGAAAATCAAAATTAGGAAGACAAGAAAAAGGTCAACGATATCCAGAGGTTAGAGAATTTAAGTTTAATCAATAACCATGAACTTAAAAAGTGATTTTTAAACTGGCTATCCATATGTATAATAAACCTAGATACCCTTCCCTCTACCTGGATAAAAATGAACTCCAAGTGAATCAAATCTTAACCTAAGATTTGAAACCTGAAAAAATACATGCAGGCAATACACTCATACACATAAAATAAAATTAATTCTTAGAAATAAAATACCTGAGTACATAAGAAAGAAACAAAACATATGTACCCACAGGCACACATACATTCCATACCACCTGGTTAAAACTATAACTGATTATCTGAATATCTGAATACATAGAATTTGGGTTCTAGAAATGTGAAGTTGCTTGGACACTGATCTTATCGTCGATGACTAAGTATGAAATTTACTGAAGAACAGGACCCCAAAGCAGATGATTGAGAGACTAAGAACTTTTAAAGAGCATATCCAGAGAAAAGAAGACCAAGGATAGATTGTATCCACCACCATCACCAAAAAAAACCTACAGTATTACTTGGGCTCCCAGTTTGAGGCTACTGGAGTAACTGAAAATCAAGGGAAAAAATTAAATAAGGAAAAAGGAGCCTCTTTAAAATTATCTACATCTAAACAGCCCTTGGATTCTTGATCAACTCTTTAAGTGTGCAGCTGTAGCAAAAATGCTGGAGTTACAGGCTGAGCAAAGTTCAACAGCTCCTTATTTAGAGGGCATTTGGGGTTGAATCTCATCTACTTTAGTGCGTAGGGGTTACAGTAACAGCATACCACAGGCCCTGTGGCTTATAAGAAAATTAAATTTCTCTCTCATTTTTCTGACAAGACCAAGGCACTGGCAGGTTCAGAGTCTAGTGAGGGTTCTGCTTTCTGATCTGTAGGTGCTATTTTCTACAGGCTTTCTTATGTTTTCCTGATGCTCCTGAACAAGTAGAATATAATATATTAGTGCTGGAAAGGTTAAAAAGTACATTGAACTACAGAGAAAAAATAAGGGAGAAATATAAACTTCATTGTTGATTCCTTTCTCCCTCGTCTGCCATTAGGAAATCCTGTTAACTCTATTGTCCAAAATATATGCTGACTCTAAGCATTTCCCATCCTTCCTAGAGTGAAAACCACTATTAACCACTCTTTCCCCCGGAATACTATGATAGTATCTGTGGTTGACAATCTTACTCAATCATCTTCCCAGTAGGGAAAAGGAAGTAAACCTATTGGGGTGGGGCAGGGGAAGAGGGAAAATGAAAGACACACTGGTAAATAGGCAAGGGCAATAAACAGCCTTTGAGGTGCCTTGTTTTCCCCTAATTTTAGTAATTTTATACGTAACACCAAAAACTGACTCTGGAACATACAACATTCCTATAAAACACTATACAAGCAATCCAGACAAAACTGTTCAAAGGATAAAAACTAAAAGTAACCACTGTGTATACACCATCTGCTTAAAGTATTAATTGGTAATGAGGGACAACACTGTTGGATATTTCTACGATGTAAAAATTATTTATACATATGGAGATATGCACCGAAATTTCTCTTTTTGGTTTTTTACAGGGTTTCTCTGTGTAGCCTTTACTGTTCTGAAACTAGCTCTGTAGACCACACCAACCTCGAACTCAGAGATCTGCCTGCCTCCGACTCCCAAGTACTGCTCTTAAAGGCATGTGCCACTTACCACCCAGCCAGAAACTATTAATTTCAAAGTAAGCTAGTAAAGTAATTGTAGCAGATATGGAAGACTGTGAAGTTCTATCAAAGTTATAAGAAAGGGCTAAGGGTATGTCTCAGTGGTAGTGTGTTTGCCCAGCACAAACAGGGTACTGGGGTTAATTCCAACTCTTGGGGATTAAAAGAAATAACTAAAAAGAAAACAAGTTATTAAAGAAGCTTTCAGAGATAACACCATCAAAAGTAAATAGAAATTGCAATTTTTGCTTTATAAATGAAGCTTTTGTTGTGGAGGTAGTTCAGTGGTAAAGACCTGGGTTTGACCCTCAGTAACCCCTCTCACCCCCCACACACAAAGATTGAAGTGGGTCGTCAGGGATTCACAGAGACTTGGAGACAGAGCGGGAGAGATTAAAAAATGTGAAGTTTTATTTTCTTTATCAGACTACCATAATCAAAATGCATTGTAATAGTAATGGCAGCAGCATATAAGGGGACAGGGACTTAATAGATCATTAAGAGTAACAAAAATTGTGGCTGAGGAAAGTTTACCATCTATTACAACCTCACTATCCACAATAGTCCACGGGTGTGTGTGGTGTGTGTGTGTGTGCATATGTTTGTGCACTTGTGTGTGTTTTATTCTCTGTGTTCATCATCAGTGGCATCTAAGACATACTATAAAGTGGGAAAAAGCAAGTTGCAATAGAGTGTGCTTTCCTCTAATTTATGCATTTGTATTAATAGTCATTTGGACATTTTATTACACACAAAAGATTGAGATTGTCTTGTTCTAGCCATGTTAGCCATATTTTCTCTTCGACAAATCACATCAGAAGGACGTTCCTACAGTGAGAGAGTAAATTGTCCAAACACAGAAAACAGAAGCCATTAGGCATGTGGGTCTCTCTGAATTAGAACATGGTCATATCTTCCCATACTTAACTACACTCTATGAGCTGTTCTAGAATGCAGTTCCCCACAGACCTGCATTAAAGTCTTCCTGGTGTGAAGGAATTGGCAAATCATGGCATGAACATTTCAGTAAACAATATTTAGCAAACCAGAAAAGAACTGCCCTATTCACAGAATGACATGTTGAAAGCCTATCTTCCCTTTTTACCTTCCTGTGGTCCTTCCTAGTTCCACATTCTCACCTAATTATCCTCAAAGGTCTAGAATGAACTAGTTAGCTTTGCTGTTCCTGTCCTGCATGTAAATGAAGACTAGAACAGTCTTCCTGGCTACAAACCTACAAGTGTGACTTAACAGACTTAGCCCAAAGTTAGAGCCTGTGCAGAATCACCTGAGCTTGAAGTTAAAGACACAATCACCTACGGTTCTGAAGACTATGTAAGAAGGAAGGGAAAGATCTAGAAAGCCCTCTGAATATTCCACTGACATTTCAGAAATGTCCACATACTTGTATGCAATACAATTGTATCATTGTCCCAGAAACCACAGAGAAATTAGGTCACAGACACTGATATTCTGGCATATTGATAAATAATTAAATAGTCATTATTATTCTCCTCAAATAAATCTGCTTGGTTTTCAAAAGCCATGAAAATTTTGGCTGGAAAAGATGAGACACCAATGGTAAAAGAAAATAAATTAGAAATGAAATCATTTTATTTGCATTGCTTTACTTTCCTGTTTCAAGCAAGATAGTTGCACCCTTGAGTTTTGCTGTTGTTACTATTTGTTGTCCTGAAAAAACTAACAGAGTGGAGTAATTACTATTAACACATTTGCTCCTCTCAACATCTCATGATAAGTAAATACTGTTGTTTCTGTTTTTTCAAGTGAGGTATAATCAGGTAAACTGAGGCAGGAGCAGCACTCAAATCGCGGACCAGCATTTTCTTAAAACTTTTCTCTTTAAGCTAAACGAAATTCAAGAAATTTTCCTTCCTAAAATGCAGGGAATTCTGAGCCATAAAACATGGACCCCCGCGAAAGCCATGAATCCTGCATGGCGCATCAAAAAAGTCGGATTGGGCCTAACAACTGTAATTTATGTGTGAATGTGTGGAAGGGGTGGATGAAGCCTTTGTCGGGATACCCACCGGCTCCCGGGACGCCAGTAGCCAGCAGCAAGATCTGTCTGCACCCGCCATCACGACTGAACGCGGGTGCCCAAGAGGTTCTGTGACCGCGATCCCACGCATGCGTGGCCAGCCTTGGCGCTTACCTGGTGCGCCTGGTGAAGAGGAACAGGGCCAGGAGGAGCAGGGTGGCGGCAAAGAGCAGGCCTGGGAGGGCCAGAGGCCCTGGCAAGCTGGCGGCTAGGGTCGAGGCTCCCTCCATCTGGACTAGGCAGTTCTGCTGGGGCGACGGCTTTTGCTTCAGCACAGTGCCCTTCTTCTCGACTAGAGGCTCGGCACTGCCCGCTGCGCAGAGCAGAATGTCACAGCGGTTCCCAAAGCTGAACTACAAAGTTAGTGGAGTCCCCTCCCCCTCTCCCGCCCCCATCGCCTCCCCCTGACCCTAGTGCACCGCCCAGCACCGCCTCCAGCTCTTGCGACAGGAACTTGCCAAGGAAGAGGGAAAGGATTAGGATTTTCCCAGGTGAAGACAGGAGGCCTAGAGAAGAGGGGGTGTTGTTTCTGGGTGAGCAGTGAGACCACAAGAGGGACCCTGCCTGACGCCTCTCCCCACCCTGTTTAAGGATAGGTCATCCAAAACTGCCGGCAGATACCGTGCAGGATGTACCATGGCCAGCTTCCCCTTCATCACCAGCATCTACTGAATACATGCAAAGTTTCACACCAGAAAGGGGGTAAGGAGGCAGGCCATCGTTCAGAGGACGCTGGAGTGCACACAGAAAGAAGCCACAGGTAAAAATAAGAAAGCCCACAAGCCATGGTGTACAGCACATTCCACAGGCAGAGAAATAAGACCTTTGAAAAGTGTCCTCTTTTTGACGCTGAGGTAGATAATGGCTTGATGCTGAAGCCTGAGAACAGGAGTCAAACCCTGCCTTGATAGATAAAGTGAAACTGGCTGAAGAGGAGACTTGCTGTTAATTTCACAATGAGAGTAAACCCCCACCGCCGCCTCCTTTTTCCATAATTCATGACTACCCCGCAGATGCTTTACATGTTATTCCCAAAATTGTGACTAAGTTTTAGCAGTATTTCATAGGACATATTCAAATTGTCCTGTGGACTTAGCTGATGAGTATTCACCCTTATCTTCTCCAATGTCAGCTTCTATCCTCACCCTGTCCCTGAGCAATTGCTACTAACAGCTTCAAAATCGGTCTCCATGCCCCTCACCATTTTACACAGACCCATTTTTACCCTGCCCCAAACTCAGAAACTGATACATACTCCATGTGAAATGAGAAGTATTAATCCCAAAGATTCAAGAAAAAGACCACCAACCCAAATTAACATTGCAAAATTAATTAAAGTAAGCAATTAATTAAAGCAAGCTTTTTCTATTTCTGTTTACAGGCTCCCTCCCCCTAAGGTGGTGTTCAGCAGGTCAGGTCAGCATTGAACATGAGAAGACAAGGTTTTTATAGCTCTGGGGTAAAGGTTTCCAAATGGGGGATTTGGTGGTTAAAATAGGCAGGGTTACAGAAGCAGAACATAGGGACTCATAACAAGGTACTGTTAAGGAGGTAGTCAGAGCAACTTTTTTAAACAAAGACAGGGTTGTAAGATAGTCTTTGCAACTTAAAAAAATAAAAGACATGATTACAAGGTGGTTATACAGTAGTCATGACAACAGGTGGCTGCATAATTTTTTGAAACAAAGGCATGATTGCTTTTTCCTGGAAAAGAAAACAGATCCATTTGTAGTTAAGGTTAAAGGTTGTGTATAACTCAAACGTTAAGAAACAGAGATTAAATCATAAACAGGAATGAACCCAGTTTGTCTTTACTATAAGATGGCTTTCAAGCAGGCTGGTTCATCAGAGGCCTTCCACAATTTGTCTACTTGACACAAGTTACCTGACTATGACAGTTCCTGTGCCATTTTATCTTACACATCCTACCCACATAATCCTATGTCAGGAATTCTTTCTGCCTGAGAAGAAACTGTACTGTCTCTTCTCAATGCCCACATTATCCCCACCTGTCAAAGTTCTGCTTTATTTCTACTGTTTAGGAGGTTTTATTTCACTTTTGGAGACTGTGTCTTAGGTAACCCAAGATGGCTTGGAACTCCCTACATAGACCAAGCAAGCCTCAAACTAGTGGTGATATCCTCCTGTCTCTGCTTTCTGAGTGCTGGGTTTATATGTGTTTGGCCTCTTTAACCTCCTCTCTCCTCATGAAATTATCCCAAAGTTACTTTTGCTGTTACTCTTTCCTACCCATTGCTTCTAGTACACTGTTGCACTTTCTCCTTGTCACACTCATTTTCCATTCCATCTGCTATTTCTAAGTCTGTTTCTCCTTCTATAATCAGTGGATATCATGCCTGAAGCAAAATAATCATTTGAGCACAACTAAAGGCATAGCAACTATTGCTTCTAATATTATTTGCTGCCTATTCACAATTCAGATTTTAACTGGGAAGCCTATGTATTTTGTTTGTTAAGTTTAGAAAACTTATCTTAATTCCATTGTGGGTTTATACACTGCAAAGGGCTACGAGAACTATGTGCTTATGGATGCCTACCAGTCCCCTTCAGAAGTCAGCCACAATTATTTTGTGTATTTTGACACTCTAATTGGACCAGAGTTCAATTACTGAAGCCATCCTTGCTGGAATTCTGACCCTCCTTTTCTTCAGAATTTCTTTTTTTGATTCTCAGGAACCTGATTGATATCTGCAAAAATCTGAATAATGGATATTTCCTCCTACTTTTTAATGTGGTGTTTTTAATTCTCTTGTTCAGACTATGAGATTCTATTACACTGGACTAAGTCTACCTGTGTAGGTAACTGCTTAAGTGTAAGCCAGATCCATGAGCTACATTTGGTTTGTTGGATCTGCAAAAAATAAATGCAATGTCTTCTTTCAAAGAAAATGAGAAGTTAAAAGAAGTTACTAGTAGATAAAAGTAAGAAAGAAACTAATAAATGTGTGATTGTAGAGGAACAATGACAGAATTTAATAGAATGCACCCATATGGTTTCAATCTTTTGAGTTTCCCCAAAGCAAGTGATATGATAGGAATCTGGTACATGACAGCTTCAGAGTCTATGTGGAAACCTAGTGCAGTGGAAATTCTCAGGAATCTATGAGGGTGACCCTAGCAAAGACTCATAGTAGTGGAACCTGAACTAGCCATCTTCTGTAACCAGATAAGGCATCCAGTGGTGGGACTAGGACAGCCACCCAGCCACAAATCCTTCTACACAAACCTATACTGCCTGCAAGATGGGGAAATGGTGGCACAGAACTTGTGGGAGTGGCCAACCAATAAGTCTTCCCACATGAGGCACATGCCACAAGAGGGAACCCATGCCCCATACTGCCTGGATGGCCAGGAACCAGAGGCTGAGTAGCCCAGAGACCTAGGATAGAGCCAAACACTATTGACAAAAATAAATAAATAAATAAATGAATAAATAAATAAAGAAATAAATAAATAAATAAATAATAGATAGATAAATAAATAAAATAAAAAATTCTAATGATATTTGCTATACCCATAGATCAGTGTCTATGGGTGCCAAATCATCACCAAAAAGGCTTCCTCCAGCAACTGATGGGAGCAAATGCAGAGACCCACAGTCAAACATTAGGCAGAGAGTTCAGGGATCCCCACAAAAGAAGAGGAGACAGATTATAGGAGCCAGAGGGGTCAAGAATACCAGGAGAACCTCTGAAAGGCTCTGCCCTGCAGACTATCAATGCAGATGCTGAGACTTATGGCCAACCTTTGGGCAGAATGCAGGGAATATTATGAAAGAAGTGGGAAAAAGTAAAATCTGGAGAGGACAGGAACTCCACAAGGAGAGCAACAGAACCAAAAAACCTGAGCACAGGGGTTTTTCCTGAGACTGATACTCCAACCAAGGACTATGAATGGAGATAACCTAAGACCCCTGCACAGATGTAGCCCATGGCAGTTCAGTATCCAAGTGGGTTCCATTGTAATAGGAACAGGGGTTGTCTCTGACATGAACTGATTGGCCTGCTCTTTAATTACCTCCCCCTGAGGGGGAAGCAGCATTACCAGGTCACAGAAGGAGACAATTCAGCCACACCTGATGAGACCTAATTGACTAGGATCAGAAGGAAGGAAACAAAGACCTCTCCTATCAGTGGACTTGGGGAGGGGCCTGCATGATGCAGAGGGTGGAGGAAGGGAGGGATTGTGGGAGAAGAAAGAGGGTACCACAGAGGGGAGGGGGATACAAAGTGAATAAAGTGTAATTAATAAAGAATTAAAAAAAAGAATACCAGGAGAACATGGCCTGCAGAATCAAGAAAGTAAGGCTTATAGAGACTGAAGTAGCAACCACTCAGCCTATATGGGTCTGAGCTAGATTCTCTCTCTCTCTCTCTCTCTCTCTCTCTCTCTCTCTCTCTCTCTCAATAGATAGATATAGATGCCTAGATAGAGATATATGGATGGATAGATAGATAGATAGATACATAGATAGATATGATATGATATATGATGTGATATGAAATGAAATGAAATGATATGATATGATATGATATGATATGATATGATATGATATGATATGATATGATAGTTAGCTTGGCACTCTTGTTAGGACTTCTAACAGTGAGAGTGGGGAATGTCTGTTACCTTGCCTGCTCTTGATACCCTTTTCCTCTTATTGGGTTGCCTTGTCTAGCCTTTATATGAGGGTTTGAGTGTACTTCTTATTCTAACTTGTTTGATCCATCACCCTGGAAGGTCTGCTCTTTTCTGAAAAAAATAAATGAAGAAAGAGCAGATCTGGGGGAGTAGGGAGAGAGGAGCAACTGGGAGGAGTGGAAGAGAAACTGCAAGCCAGGTGTCATACATGATATAAGAAAAAAGAAAAAGACACTAAGAAAGAAAGAAGGAAAGAAAGGAAGGAAGGAGGGAAGGAAGGAAGGAAGAAAGGAAGACTTAAAGGCACCACTGTGGGAAAGGTCAAAGCGGAATTCAACCCATTCTTTTCCTAATATAATAAAGCATCTAAAAATGAAGTTTGAATGCTCAAACTTGAAAAGGTCTGTCAAGTTTTGACATAAAGTATGGTCTGAGTTATACATTCTCTCAAACCGCAATATCCTGTCCCTCTGGAGTATGACTTCTGTGAGCATCCTCCTCTTCTTTTTTCTTCTTCCTACAATAACTTTAATTTCTTGTTTTTTGATAGATTCAATATCATCACTGGACAAGTTGTGAAGAAGGGAAAGAGAAGAAAAGAAGAGTTGCTTATTTCATATACACTGTTTCATGTACTTCTCAAAACAAATGTCTGATTTAGATGTTATTATTATAGAGTGATATTTC